TAAAATAAAACTAACACCTTATATATATATATATATATATATATATATATATATAAACTAAAAATATTATTCTACTCTTAATAAATAAAACTATATAAATATTATTTAATATTTTCTCTCAAACTCATGATGTGAGAATTACAAATATCAAGAGTTTATCAACCACAAAACAAAAATAAGAGATGGAATGTGTTTTGATAAAGAAATTTACAAGGAAAAAGGAATAAAAGGTAAAACAATAGTGTCATACTTGAGATGATAACAAGTAAAATGATAATCGATCTTAATGTGCTTAATTCGCTCATCAAAAACCGAGCTGTAAGTAATTTGAATAGAACTCTCGTTGCCACAATACATAGGAGTAGGATGATAAAAAAAAACTCTCATATCAATAAGTAACCAGCGTAACCAAACAATCTATTTGGTAATAGATGTCATGGCATAAAATTCTACTTCAATGGATGATTGAGAAACAATAGATTGTTTCTTACTCTTCCAAGAAATAAAAGAATCACCTAAAAAGATACAAAACCTAATAACAGACTTGTAATCTGTGGAATCACTACCATGATCAACATCAAAATATGCATGCAACTCCAAGGAAGAGGTGGGTGGAAGTAAAATACTCTGAAAAACTGTACCTCAAAGATATTACAAAATATAAAGAACAACTACTTAGTGAACAGTAGTAGGAGAAGCAACAAACTTAGTAATAATATGAATAGCATATGCAATATCTGGATGAGTAATGATGAGATATATCAAACTCTCAACAATAGTGTGGTATCAAGTAGAATCTATCAAAAGTAAACCATCAAAAGAAGAGTACCTCACATTAACTTCAATAGGAGTATATACAGTTTTGTTATCAATAAGTCTAGCCCGCTCAAGAATATCTGTAACATATTTCGACTGAGAAAAAAGATAACCTCTAGGTGAGTATGCTACCTCAATACCCAGGAAATATCAAAGATAATCCAAATTCTTCATTTCAAATTGTCTAGCCAACTTTATTTTCAAGACTGAAATACCATCAATGTCATCACCATTAATAATCATGTCATCAACATATAAAGACAGAATGATACAACCTGCATCAGTGCACTTAATAAAAAAAGCAGAATCATGACTACTAGAAACAAAACCAAAAGATGAGACCACAATAAAGAATTTCTAAAACCAAGCATAGGGTGCTTGTTTGAGACCATATAATATTTTCTTAAGCTTACAAACATATTCAGAGTCATGTAAAATACCAGGAGAAAGTGTCATATAAACTTCTTCTTGAAAATCTTCATTCAAGAACTTATTTTTAACATCAAGCTGAGAAATATGTCACTGAAAAATCAAAACTATAGAAATAAGAGCACGAATAATAGTCATTTTTGCAACCGGAATAAATATCTCCTCATAATCCATACCATATTGTAGAGATTATCTTTTTGCAACCAATCTAGCTTTGTATTGCTCAATAGACCCATCAGAACTAGTCTTTATTTTATACACCCAATGACAACCAACAACACTTTTAACAGGAGGTAAAGAAATTAGATCTCTAATATCTGTCTTATGCAAAGTAGAAAGTTTCTCATCCATAGCTTGCTGCCAAAGCGAATCAAGAATTGTCTCTTTATATGAAGAGGGCTCAAAGAGACAATAAATAGAGGTTAAAAAGAAAGTAAATGATAAAGAATAACAAGAATAAGCAAAATCTGGTAGTTTTGTGGATTTACGAATATGGATGGACTGACGTAGAGGTGGATCCACAATCTCAAATGAAGCTTAAGAGGCTATAGATGAGAATGGAGCTTTAAGTATGCCATAAAGTAAAGTACCAGTACTTGCAGAGTTATAAGTATAAATTAATTAAACATGGCGAGAGGTATCTGATTGTGCATCAAAAGTATCATTAAGTCTCTTATTTTACATATGTATTTATTATTTTTATTTTTTTTTTATAATAATTGATGTGCTTTTTAGTAATGAAGTTTCTTTTAATGTTTCGATAGGTTCTTGGAGCTTAAATGAATTATTTTAGAAAATTCAACGTTGAAATTCAAAACAAAGAATTGAAGGGAAATTTAGTTGAAGATTGAAGCAAATCTTGGTTCAAATAAGTGCTCCAAATTTTCTCCAAAAAAATCAATTTTATTCCGATTCTAGAAAAGATTATCATATGATCTATTTTAAGCTCAAACTTGCCTTGTGTTTTGTGCAAACTTAAACCATCAAACACTCAATGTTTTAATGCTAATCTTAGCCCAATTAATAGGTACATTTGTATCCTTATTTGATGCTTAAGTTCAGCCCTAAATCAGCCTCCAAATCAACCAAAGCACAATCCATGATCTTACATATCCACACAACAAATAACATTTGATTTATTTTGGGTAATTCATTGATTTAAAAGGGCAAGCACGTGGATGAAAAGCTGGAGGGGACATTGTCACATTATTTTGGGTCAAAATAAGAAAGAAATAGCTCATAATGGAGGAAGAAAAATGTGCACCAAAGTGTTTTCCAAGCTGTCCTGATTTGATTTTTCAGAACACATTTCGGTGTTATATCCATAACTTTTGACTCAGATGTCAAAATAAGCTGTTCTTTAATGAGATAGAAAGGTGACAGAATTTCCTATAAATATATCTGTAATAGACATATCCAAAAGAGGTTCTAAGAGGGTTGAATTGCTGTTCAAAGTTAGAGTCAAATTTGTGTCGTGTTCTTCTTTATAGATTTCGGTTCTTTAGTTTGTAAAACTTATTATTTTAGTTTGATTCAAGTTATTTCATGTTTATTGAAGTGTTCTTATATATAATCATAATTGGCTAATCTCTTTCTTTGATCCAAATTAAGGATAATGGTGGTTGAGGTGAGTTCTTTAAGATATGAACGAATCTTAATGTTTATCTTCTCGTTTTCTTCATGAATATTTTATTATTGCAAAGAAATTTTTAAAATCATTTAGGTAATGTTATAATCTTGAATTTTTATACACAAATTTTAGTTTTGGTATAGAGATTGCTTGATTCAATTTCTTACTTAATATGAAAGTATTTGTTTATTCTTAAGTAATAATCAATCTTCATCTTTTTAAACTTTATTGTAATATCTTCCAATCTAATATAATCATCATTGATATTAGGTTGAGTTATTTTATATATGTTGAAGGAATCACCAATACATCACCATTACAATCGATTTGGACCAAGACTTACTTTTTCTTGTCATTTAAAATCTAGTTACACTTTTTCATCTTTGAAAACAAATCCATCAATTATTTTCAACTAAGTTATTGTTAATTTAATTTATTTTGAGTTTTTTTGTTACCTAGCTCACCAATACGGTCAAGCAGTATCATTACTAGAATCCTCAAAAAAAGGATCTATATGAATAAAATCTAAAAGTGAAAAGGTTATACTAATAGTGTAAGAATAAGTATGGTGTAAACTTAATATGGACTTTAATGTTTGATACTAACATGTTTTGTATTTGTTATCTTGTTCACTCTTTAATACTTTGCTTGTTAAATGACTAATCTAGATTTATGTTATATAACTCTTGGTACATCAAATACTTGGCACTTTCATAACCCATATTATTTGGTATAACTAACACCTGAATTATGAAAAGAACTTGATTTGTTATTAACATAAGTTATAATTATGAATATGCGACGAGATTTACAAATATTAGCATTAATTGAATAAGATAACTAATATAATCATGTTAACAATTTATAATCTAATTGGAACCTCCTTTGTGTGTGGTTTTCAATTGAATAATAAGAATTTATACTATATTTATTTGACATACTATTAATGGATCCTTTCTCATGCAAGGTACTTCAAACACAAACACAGTTCAAGCTCACATGAAATTAGTTTATTTCATGCTAAACATTATGTCGCCATCCTGATTTTTTCATGTCTTTTACAAATTTGAATATCATTTTTATTTCATTATTATTATTTCCAGGTAAAAAAGTGGTACATGGTTGATGTATACCATATCACTTACCAAGTGCATACATCATTAACAATGCATGGCCATCAATCTTTTTCCCCCTAAAAGAATGATTTTAATAATTTGAACGTGTAGAGTTGATGAGGAAAGAAGTGGTGGGCATTGGACCACTGATAGAACAAAGGCAAAACAGGGGACGGAACTCTATAGAGATCAAAATAGTGCATCGAAGGGTTTTCAGATTCAATGTCTCATTTGGTGACTTTGCTTGGCAAAAAGAATCCCAAAGTCTCCTAAAGGGATCCCGACAAGCCTGGCTCCAGAAGGGAAAAGCATTAATCACCTTTATTTGAGAGTGAAAGGGAAAGGCAAGACCTGTAGAATCAAAGCTTTTCAAGGCTGACCATGTTTAGCTTGTAAAAGACACTAAACATGTACACATCTATCGTAGGGTGTAGGGGGCCCTGAGGCTCTCTTTTTTGAGGGTGACCAATCCCTATCTGGAATCTCCTGCTCATATATGTGGTAGAGCCTAGACTACACATTTTTTTTCTTTACTTTGTTATCAAGAAATTTTACCATGATCATAGAGTAAATAGAAGTAGCTCCTCCCTAAATCTACTTTCAATTCATGCTGAGATTGCTCCAAAAAAAAAATCTTATACTCGCCTTATTTAAGTTTGAATTTGAAATAATAACATATGATATAAAAACATTGATCATACATGTTTAACGTCACCTCAAAATTAATAAAGGAAAAGTAAACTCTCAGAGAACTGAGCATCATGGGTCAAATATAAAACCCTATAATGATGCATGCTTTACCCAAACCCGTTTGGGTGGAATTTGTTTGTTAAGCAAAAAGTGACAGGGGGAGAATTGCAAAAAGAAAGACGAAAAAAAAAAAAGTTTCCAATGGTGGTTGGTGTGGCGGTGGAGGCCATATAGTGTACGTTAAAAAAATCTAAAAAAATCTGCTTTAATTAGGATTCACTTTTGAGATATTAATTTAAAAAAATGCAATTGTTGATAGTGGATTTATGGCATTATACATAGGAGGCAGTTTTCTCATATGGTAACAAAATCCCACCCCTTTTTCCTTACTATATATCTTTCTATATTCTATATATATAAGCCTTCTACGTTCACCTCTTTAGTTTGAATATGTCCATCTCTCTCTCTCTCTCTCTCTCTCTCCATATATGTGTGTGATTGTGTGCCTTGTGTTTCACCAGATTAACTCGTTCTCTTTGCAAGAAGATCAATAAAGGATTTGTGTCACTCATCAATGGAAGCAAGAAACGGATTCGAAAGGGAAGGGAGATGCATAAAAGAAGAAGGTGACATGGGTTATGCCTGGCTCCCTGTATGCCACAAGCAAAGACCAATCTTTTGTTTTAGATGGGCTGTTGCCGGTGGCGTGCGAGGAGCCAAGCATACTCTCTCTTTCTCTATCTGTGTGTATACGTGCGTGCGTGCGTTGATCATTCTTCTGCTAAACTTTTATGTATTACTTCGATGCTTCTACATGTCCTTCCGATATTTATTTTCCCTTGTTCATAGAGTATTTTCTCATCTTGAAAATCAGGCATGATCAATTATATAGAAAGGCTTTTATTTTGTTCGAAAAAATGAAAGCAAGAAGCACTTTTGTATCCATTGATCACCAGAATTTTGTTTTTCAAAACAAATATTATATGCCATAGATCACTGCTTGTTCTTTGCATGTGCATCAGGTCTAAGAGAACTCACATGTATACTGCTTGCAAATTAAATGGTAAATTTATTTCTTAAAAAATAAATAAATAATGTTTGGTTACTCTTTTGAGGGAGTAGAGATGCATGGAGATAATTGGGATAAAATCATGTCTTTAATTCACTAATTAAACATAACTTATTTAATTCTTATCATGATGAATAATTTCGTGCTTGATAAGTTTATTTCTTGTAGTTGTTTTGCTTTTTAAATATGGTGTTAATTGCTTAGACAACACTAAATTATTTTACTATATATATATATATAACCCACATTGAACAAGCTCTTTTGATATAAGGGTTTTTGTTTTTTGTCTTGATTTGGATCTAATTGGAAGAGCATGCATGTACTCGCAGTGTTTATCTTTATCAGGTTTCAGCATGATCATCACAATTAATAGAGGAATATTGATGGTGTGGCCTCTCCCTTCTTGCAAGGAATATATTTCTCCCATGAACTTTAATTTGATGATTCGATTCCCACTTAGCTACCAATCTATGCAGCAGAAAAGCTTAAGGGCCATACTCTGATCAAGAACTACTTTCTCAAAGCTCGGAGAGAGCATCATTGCAATTTGCTAATGTTTTTATTCCTCCATTGTGGTTTACAGTAGTGTTACTTTTTTTCCTCAACTACGGAAGAACATTAATATTTGTTTTCCTGCGTGTGTGTACTAAGTGGTTGGCATACATATTTATATTTGTAGTAAACTAGCTAGTTGCTCATTTGTTACTCTCTCTCTCTCTCTACACACACACACACACACACTCTACAGGTGGAGGGATCGATTAACATGGTATTGATGTAGGGAATGAGTGGTAAATAGATTGTAAGAGGTAGAAATTAAAAAAATATTTTGTTTACATTGCTATGATTAATTAATTTGAAATGTTTTTTAAGAGTATTTTTTATTAAAAACATATTGAAATGATGTTTTGTTTTTTATATCAACATATTAAAAATATTTAAAATAATATAAAGGAGTGTCAAAGAGCACTATCATTAAACTTAAAACGCACTGGAAAATATTTAACTCCTACTTTTTTTATCAGCACGACTAATTTCCTGTCATTGTTATGAGAATATCTTATGTCCACATCATATTTGTTCATGGGTGAGGGATGTTACGGAAACATTATGGAAGCTCATGCATGAAAACCACACGCATGCTCATATATAAATAAGGGCGTGTGTGTGTATATATACACCAATAAATTTCTATCCATAAACTCGTAGGTAAAATACATATTGATAAATTATAAATGTAAATGCTAATAAATTTTTGTTTCAAAAATCATTAAATCTAATAATGTAAATGATATATATATTATTGAAATCCATAATGATTTGTAAGCATGTGAACAATATTTTTCATACGAAACCACTATTTCTTTTAATTGTTTATATAATATCAACTAATATTACACACAATCATTTATAGTATAATTATTTTAATTTACTAATACAGAAATAGATGATACTATTTGTGATTATAGTAGATTTCAGTCACATTTTAAAGATAGTTAAAATATATCAAATACTGATGAAGATAAAATTACATATGAGTATTTTATATGTTTTTTTATTGGCTTCATGATTCCGATGACAACTAGAAGGATTATTTGAACGTACAAAAATTTAAATTTATAATAAATACTTAATTTTTATATTAATTTCTTTTATTTTATATATTTTAATTATTTTCTTTTTTTGTTCAATATATTTTTTAAAATATATATATTTTAAAATATTACTAAGAGGGTTAGCAATAGAACACGTCATTCAATATATTTCAGAGAGTTACAAAAAAATCACTTAAAATATTACTATCAATGTTATCTCACTGACATACTTATCAATCTTATTATGTTGATGGTATACTATATTTACAGTAAAAATACTAGTGAAAAAAGAAAAACTTCAATGGAATTATATATAATTTTTCTATTAAAAATATATTAAATTTATCGATAAATATACTAACTAAATGAAATGGGCAATTTTTTTAGCATACATTGTCCATTTATAAATTTATCTATAAATTTATTATTGATGGACTCAATAATAGATCATAAATTACCACAAGAATTTAACAAATTATTTCTAGCCATGAACTCATCAATAAAATATGTATTAATAGACTATAAGTATAAACTATTATTGAAATCATGAGTACATAAACAATATATATATATTACAAAACCACTAGTTGTTTTAGTTTGTTCTATAATATCCACTAATAATTAATTTAATTTCGTAATATAGAAATAGATGATACTATCTGTGAACACAGTCGATTCTTCCAAACGTGGGGCTCATGAAATTTGACAATTCAATTGCGTCCTTTTCCGTGCTGGCCCGGATTCAGATTGTTTGAAAAGGAAGCAGAGCACATAAATTCCGGTCAATATTTTCGCCCCGTGACTTGCGCACGTTGATGAAACACTGTAGGGTACCGCTGTTCTACCAACAATGTCCGAGCGCGAGAGAGGGAGAGAGAGAAAGAATTCTCTTAACCTAATCTTTGTACTTTTCTTATGCTTTGTTTTTAACGGTTTATTTATGGGTTTTATAATACTGTGTCATCATTGTTTTTTAAAATATATTTTTATTTAAAACTTTATTAAAATAATATTTTTTATTTTGAATTACTTTTTATATTAGCACATTAAAATAATTTGAAAATGTTAAAAAAATATATTAATTAAAAATAATTAAAAAATATATAAATTTTTTAAAAAATATTTTTAAAATACAAAAATAAATAGTTATTATTATATAAAAAACATTTTCAACTATCTAGATTAAATTTCATATATCGCGTTCTGAACGAAAAATTTTATGATGTTTAAATTATAAGTACAATTTACTTGTTGCATGGAAAGAGATAAACATAAAAAAAAATTTAAAAATAATATAAAAATACTAAAAAAATATTAATTTAAAACAAATTAAAATTAAAAAAATTCTAAAAATAATTTCAAAATATAAAAATAAACAATTACTATTATGTAAAAAAAACATTTTCAGGTATCGAGATTAAATTTCATATATCACGTTTTGCAGGAGAAATCTTATGATACTTAAATTACAAGTACAAGTTACTTGTTGTATGGAAAGGGATCCGCACAAAAAAAAAGATCTTATAATAAAATAGTTTCTCTATCTCTCCTATGATATAAGTATAAGATGATATATATATATATATATATATATATATATAAAGTATAAGATGATTAGTAACATAATATTTTATATTCTGGACAGGTGCCCTGTCTTTTAAATTAACGTATTTATAAGAAATTTCACAAAATGATAAGAAGGTGGACAATCCACTTGATGTCTTTTCAAGATGCAATGCATGTTAAAGTTTTTAAATTTGTTATTGGATTATGGATTAGATGAATTGATTCAATTTAATGAAATGATATCATTTTATAAAAACATTAAAGTAAAAACATTATATTAATAAATAAATAAATGTTAGTTAAATTAGGTTTTAACTTAATCACAACTTAATTTATAAAATCAATTAAATTTTGATCAGGTGACTATTTATATAATTTAATATAAGATTATTCTTGATTTGTATCGCTAGATTGACCTACTAAATTAAATAATGCTAATAAATATATTAATTTTTAAGCAATTATTGTATTGAAATCCATAATAATTTGTAAGTATGTGAACAATATTTTTTTTACGAAACCGCTATTTTTTTTAATTTTTTATGTAATATCAACTAAAACCACCATTTCTTTTAATTTTTTATATAATATCAACTAATAATGCACACAATCATTTATGGTATAATTATTTTAATTTACTAATATAGAAATAGATTATACTATTTGTGATCATAGTAGATTTCAATGACATTTCAAAGATAGTTGAAATATATCAAATAATGATGAAGATAAAATTACATGTGAGTATTTTATATGTTTTTTTATTGGCTTCATGATTCCGATGACTACTAAAAGGATTATTTGAATGTACAAAAATTTAAATTTGTAATAATTACTTAATTTTTATATTATTTTATTTTATATTATTTTATATATTTTAATTATTTTCTTCTTTTGTTCAATATATTTTTTAAAATATATATATTTTAAAATATTAACATGATTCAGTATATTTTAGAGAGTTACAAAAAAATCACTACAAATATTATTACCAATGTTATCTCAGCGACATACTTATCAATCGTATTATGTTGATGGTATACTATATTCACCGTAAAAATACTAGTGGAAAAAGAAAAATATCAATAGAATTATATATAATTTTTCTATCAAGAATATGTTAAATTTATCTATCGATGGATATACTAACTAAATGAAATGGGCAATTTTTTTAGCATACATTGTTCATTTATAAAATTATCTGTAAATTTATTATTGATGGACACAGTAATACATCATAAATTACCGGAAAGAGTTTCACAAATTATTTCTATTTATCAACTCATCAATAAAATATGTATTAATAGACTATAAATATAAATATGAACAAACTATTATTGAAATCATGAGTACATAAACAATATGTATATATTACAAAACCACTAGTTGTTTTAGTTTGTTGTATAATATCCACTAATATTGCACATAATCATATTTGTGGTACAATTAATTTAATTTCGTAATATAGAAATAGATGATACTATCTGTGAACACAGTCGATTCTTCCACATTTCGAAGACTCGGTAAGTAATTGAATATGAAACGTGGGGCTCATGTATTTGTTTTTCACCCATGAAATTTGACAATTCAATTGCGTCCTTTTCCGTGCTGGCCCGGATTCAGATTGTTTGAAAAGGAAGCAGAGCACATAAATTCCGGTCAATATTTTCGCCCCGTGACTTGCGCACGTTGATGAAACACTGTTGGGTACCGCTGTTCTACCAACAATGTCCATGCGAGAGAGAGAGCGAGAGAGAATTCTCTTAACCTAATCTTTGTACTTTTCTTATGCTTTGTTTTTAACGGTTTATTTATGGGTTTTATATTGTTTTTTAAAATATATTAAAATAATATTTTTTATTTTAAATTACTTTTTATATTATCACATTAAAATAATATGAAAATGTTAAAAAAATATATAAATTAAAAATAATTAAAAAAATATATAATTTTTTAAAAAATATTTTTAAAACACAAAAATAAATAATTACTATTATATAAAAAACATTTTCAGGAATTAAGATTAAATTTTATATATCGCGTTCTGAATGAAAAATTTTATAATGTTTAAATTCTTTAAATTTGTTAGATTATGGATTAAATAAATTGATTCAATTTAACGAAATGATATCATTTTATAAAAATATTAAAGTAAAAAAAATATAAATTAAATTAGATTTTAACTGATTCACTCTTAATTAAATTTTGATTAGAAGATTAATTAAATTTTGATTAGGTTAAAATTTATATAATTTAATATGAGATTATTTTTTGTTTATATCACCAGGTTGACCTATTAGATTAAATAACACTGATAAATATATTAATTTTTAAGCAATTATTGATTGGAAAATACACATCAAATAAAGTTCAATTCCAAATATAAGAAAAAGGATATAAACAATTATTCAAGTGATTTACCGATGTACCACAAACTACAACAAAAAAGAAATAAAAAACTCTTTGTT